CTGGGCCTCTTTAGCACATGGAGAGCTCCGCAACGGTGCCACTTGCATTGGGCTCGCTCCTCTCTTTCCCACCTAAAAGTCCAATTGTATGCTTCTTCGACCATGCCCGCACGAGGTTGGGCCGAGATATTATAAATATTATAAATAATTAAGATTATGTTGATTTATTTTCTGACATCTTCTCCTCCTGGCATGTCCCCAGCACATCTCCCTAAGGAACAGCTCAGCGTGTTCAGTGGTTTGCCTCTTGCCTGGCTCTCTGTGTTTGAGTTAGTTTTGCAGGATCCTGGGCTGAGCTCTGTCTTGCTTTAAAAGCCATGTAAGTGTCCCACTGTTGGGATGTCCCGCTGATTTTGGGAGGGTCCCCAGAATCAGTGCAGCTTTTGAGATGCTCAGCAACAGGGCTCACAGGAGCAGGTTTTTACCAGCTGGTGATGGATCCGAGCTGGAGAACCTGGAGCAAAACATCTGCCTTGTTACTTTAGGTCGCTGGTCTACCAGATCATGGTCAAGTCAATACATAAAACCTGGAGGGTCCTGTTAAATGAAGATGCTTGCCTGGAAGTTCAGCAAGCACCAAGCAGAATTCTCTGGGGTACACTAACACAGAAGATCATAAAGGATTGCTCTGGGCTTCATGTCAAGTGTGCATCAGGTTGGGTAAGAGGAGCTTGCCCTTATCATAAAGCAGTTTGTGCAAGTGTGGGAGTAGACAGAACACTACCCATTTCCCATCAGTTTCTTCACAAAGTGTTATCAGTGGTCTGGTGTATACCGGCAGGTCAGCACTTCTTGATTTATGACTGTTGTTCTGTTGTTTGCTCTGTCAGAGCTGGCTCTAGCTTTTTTGCACAGGATATACGTCCTTAAAATTAAAAGGTATGTGTTCTTGAACTTCTTTATCTTGCAAGCATAGACAATGGGGTTCATGGCAGAATTGGCATGGGATAACAGGATACCCAAGTACATCAAAACCTCGGGGATCTGAGACTTGGGGTAAAAATAGGAGACACAGTTTATAACGCACAGAGGCAACCAGGATATTGCAAACAGGAAGAGAACAAGTGCTAGAGATTTGGCTGTCTTGAATTCCCGTCCATAAAACCCTCCTGTCCCTCTCGTGCTGGTTGTACCTTGACTCAGCTTTGTCCGGATGATGTAGAAGATTTTAATGTACAGAGCACGCATGACAAGCAGAGGGACAAGGGTCCATGTGAAGAATGTAAGATATACCATGTAATCCATCCTGATCACAGAGAGAAACTGACACCTGAGAAACTCTGACGTTCTTGCTTCTGCCTTGTTCCACCCAAACATGGGGACTAATCCTATGAGCAGGGACAGAAACCAGCACAAACCCAGTGCCCACCAAACTCTTTTCTCTGTAGTGATTATTTTATATCTGTGGAGGAAGAAAACCCAGGTTTGCATTAAACAGAAGTAGTTAAAATAGTTAAGGATGGTTTCAAGAACTTGCATGTTCAGATATTCTAGGTTCCTGGTCACAAAATGGAGCATTAACCCAAATCTGATTTTGAGACAAGCCTAATTCTTCACTTGTACCAGTTGCTTTGCAGCACCCTTAAGAAGAACTAGGCTCAACTTCTCTTTATAATTGGATGATTTCAGCTATTTCTGGTTTCATTCTGATCTCAGTGAGCCTTTTGCCTTGATATTGCTATTATTAGCAGTTCTATCTTATTTCTCAGCTTCCTTGCATGTACATTACTCTTTATATTTGGTTTATGCCATTTGTAGGACCAAACTGTTCTTTCATCCTTCAATTTTATAGGTCCTATCCCCATTGCTGCTACTTTCATGCTTGAGGTTATGCTTTGCATTTTTAGCTTACATGCTTTTCCATTCAAACATGCAAAGTGAATGACTTCTTAAATCAGCTCTTATGTATGTTAATTCTTTTGTATTTTCATCAAACACTGAAAGGGATTTTATTTAGAAGACTCAGAAACCCAACGAAGTCTCCAGTACTCTCAGCGTTAACAAAAGAGCTGAAGAATTCAACTGTTCAACCACAGACTTATCCTGTGTGACCAGATTCAGACCAGCACCAACACTGAGCTCTCAACCCTGTACAAGCATCCCCACGGTCTGTCTGTGCTGTATTATTAACTGCAGGGAGTGGTTCCTACTCTAGAAAGTTCATCTCAGGTTGGGCTTTTAGGAACAGGTATTTTCTTTATGCCCAAGCATGCATTTCTGAGGCAAATATTTGGTATTTTGGGGCAAATAGTTGGCTTTTGGGGTAAATATTTGTTAGAAAAGTGACAACTTAAGGAGGAGAGAGGCAGCGGCAGCCACGGGGCAGAGGCTGGGGGTGGGAAAGCTGGCAGGAGCAGAGTGGAGGGGCCCGTGGTGGTCCAGCGCTCACCTGGTTGGCAGCTTCACTCGCAGGTACCTGTCAATGGCGATGGCCAGGAGGGAGAGGATGGACACGTTACTGAAAGCCACCATCAGGCAGCACATGGCCAGGCAGGTGTAGAAGTGGGTGCTGATGCCTAGGCTCACCACGATGGCCAGGGGCATGACGAGGATCCCCATCGCGATGTCAGCCAGCGCCAGAGAACCAATGAAGTGCAGAGTCGTGTTCTGAAACGCCGAGTTCATCTTCACCACCCAGATGACCAGGATGTTTCCCAAAGTGGCAGAGACAGCAACCAAGCACTCTGTACCGATATAAATGCCATGCAGGCTGTTCAGCTCCTGCCTGGTGTGCAGCTCCTGGCTGGTGTTCAGCATGGTGAGTTGCTGGAGATGCTCCCACTCAGCTTGAGCTGCAGAATCACAGAATCATAGATCGGTTGAGGTTGGAAGGGGCCTTAGAGATTATCTTGTTCCATCTAGGGGCACCTTCCACTAGGCCAGGTTGCTCCAAGCCCCATCCAACCTGCCCTTGAACACTGCCAGGGAGGGAGCAACAGTGACCATGTGTGGGATTCGTCTTCAATTTCTGGTGCTCAGTTGTTCCAGTGACTCACCACTGTGCAAATCCCTTCCAGTGCTTCACATCCTTGGTACTTGGGCAGCAAAACAGCTGTTGCCTGTCTTCAGAGCTGCAAATACCTTAGCATCAGGAAACGTTGCCCTCTCTGGACTCATCTGAAGCTCAGAGCATCCCTCCAGCAGCCTGGTATCAGGACAGTACTTTGGAAAGGGAAAAAAATCCCCAAACAATAAAGGGAAAGCTTCCACAAGCCTGCTTACCAGCAAGCTATAACCAAATACTTTGCTTCCTCTTCCAAGCTGCAGTTTTAGAAATGGGAGAACTGTAACCAGAATTGTCTGTGCAAAGCTGACACTTATCAATCTAGATAATCACCCTGTGATCACTATAGGAAATGTGGCAATTCAGGGGACGTTAGAAGGGTGTTTTGTTACATTCCAATACTTGATCTAATTCAGGGTTTGCCACTTCAGTGAAGGCCCTGAGGTGGCTGAAAAATGCTTTTTACTTGGACCTTTCTCAGCCTGACAAGAACACTTGCAATGTAGGTGACTTTTTCAGCCCTCATTTCTGCCTGAAATCAGTATGATGGCTCACCAAGTCATGTTCACATTGGCACACTTTGCTATGCTTTGTTTATGGAAGATGGAGAAACAGAGGAAAGATGTGGGAAGTAGCAGGGAGAGGCTGTGAAAGCTGTGATCTGCTTGCTGCGGGTGAGCAAATGCTCCTTGGTGTGGGTCTGCAGTGAAAGAGCTGCTCCCATTTCGGATGAAACTGAGAAGAGATGCAAACATGAGCTCGGGTCAGCCTGCGAGTCACAGGAGAACCTGGGTCTTGGGCAAATAGAAACACACGCTCTCCAAGAAGGAGCAAATAATGAGTAAAGGATTAGGTGGATGGTGCTGTATCAGTGTAATGAAGCCTTAAGCAAATGTGGGTGGTATTTGGTTTCCTGGACGCTGAGTCCTCCACCTCTTCCACCCAGTTTTCTGGCAAAACTGAGGATGGGGAAGTGATATCATCCTGAGGATGAGACAGAGCCAGGAATACATGAAACTTCTTTATTCTCTGCTGTCAAAAGAGTTGGACAAATTCTGCTTGCAGGGAATCAATCTAAGTGCTTCTTGCTCCAGGCCTGGAGGGTGTTTGGTACACGGCGAGCTCTTCATAGACAGTCCCAGGCTGTGCTGGTTTTCTAATCAGAGCTGATGCAGGATATTTGTGGGTGCAGCAGACAAATCCCAGGGGAGGCACGTGAAGGTCATGGCTGGGATGTAGGCACGGCTTTTGTGAGCTGAAGGAGCTACTTCTTGGGGAAGTACCTGGGAAAGGGTGGGCAGCCTGCACTGCGCAGCTATGGGCATGCATGAGAAACGACTTGGGTACGATGCTCCCCACTTCCTGCACTCACTGTGGAGCTCCTCTCAAGGCTGTCAGCTTCCTTTCTCTGTCTTCTACTCCTGTGGATGCAGCAAGATGCCTCTTGTAGAGACCACTACGCAGAGGCTTTGATAGGGCCTCTGTTGCCCTATGCCTGCTGCACACACAGCTCCTGGGCACCACAACCGTGTGGGACCTTAGGGGAACAGCTTATGCAACAGTCAAAATGTTTCTCCCTCCATTTGCCCTTTGCTCACCCAAAACCCAGCTGAATGCCTTCATATTTGCCTTCCCCATCACTTCCTTGTGGCAAGGGAACAGCTTGGATCACTCCAGGTCCTTTGACTCTGTTTGATGCTACACCTTCACTGCATGTCATATAGATGGAGCAGGCTTCAAAGCAGCTCAGAGACAGAGTAATCTAGCTGCGGTAGAGCTGTGCATGGGCTAGTTCACCCTGTGAGGCAGCACAGAACACCCAGCCAGGGAGGAGATTGTGCTTTTTAGGGCTAAAATAGACTATGGCAGAATTATCACAAGCCCCTGTGGTTTGTTCAGTGTGATGGTGACACTAGACAACGTTGACTCTTCTACAGAAGCACGCATAAATGTGCTGAAACCTCAAGGAGACAGAAGGATGTTACAGGTTTTTATACAGAAGGTCTGATAGGTGGATCATCACGGACAAATTTGCTCATCTCTAGAGAGTTGCGTTAAGCAGCGTGCAAAGTTCTGGATGCGGAACTTCATTCAGAGCAGATCAGGGAGAAGCTGGCTTCTGACCTGGCTGCTGGGGGCGAAAATGAGAATCCAGCACAGCATTGCTTCACTTGGGATGTAACCAGCTTCAGATGTCCACAATGGCAGTAGGCAGCCTGGATATGATCTATATCACCCTGGAGTCTGTCATCGGGATATCTGCAGTGGTGGGCAATGCCTTGGTGATCTGGGCAGTGAAGCTGAACCCAGCTTTGCAGAAGACCACCTTCTTTTACATCGTTTCCCTGGCCCTCAGTGACATTGCCATGGGGATCCTTGTCATGCCACTGGCTGTCATAGTGAGCCTGGGAGTTGTCACCCATTTCTACTCCTGCCTGTTCATGTGCTGCCTCATGATGATCTTCTCTCATGCCTCCATCCTGTCTCTCCTGGCCATCGCAGTCAACAGGTACCTGCGAGTGAAGCTGCCGACCTGGTGAGTCTGGGCCAAGGTTCCATCTTATCATCTCTTCCCCATTTCTCTTCTCCCTTATGTGTTCCTTATCCCTGGTTTGCAGCACCATAGGGCTTCCCTGGGCATCACTGGTCCTCTGAGGGAAACTCACACAAAGGCAGAAGCTCCCAAATGTGGGCAATGGCAGCCCAGCAGCCTGGGCACACCTGGAAGTTCATCAGTGCCTAAAAATCTTCAGCTTCTGAGTGTCAGGGCAAGGATGCTCATAAATGAGTGTGTGCTTGAAGTCTGAAGAAGGTGGTCTTTAGGTTTTCCCCTTGAGACAGCCTGATGCAGGGCAAAATGAACCAGTCTTCCTGAGGAAAGGGTTTGACTCCACATCCGTGGGTTCTCTTTAAAAGGGATTGACGACTGCTTGGAGGTTCCCCTGTAGTTCCAAAACACACTTTAAATGTCAGAAGCCACGAAGTACCAACTGCACAGAGCTGTGCTTAACCTGGATGAGGCCAACCTGAAACTAGTTCTTAAAAGCCCAGGGTACTGCAAATGGTAGTTCCTCTTTCTGAAGAACCACATCTAACATGGCTGATGTTTTCTGCCCACCCAGGTACAGGGCAGCCGTCACCAAGAAAATGATCTGTGTGACTCTGGGACTCTGCTGGCTTGTGT